TTCACCAGAGACAAGAGTGGGGAGCAGACTGATGAAGCACACTGTTGAGGGGGGCAGCGGGTGGGTCAGGAGAGGTCTGCCGCGCCATGTGGGTCAGGACCTCCCTGACCAGGGAATCAAACTTGCACTGCAGCTGGCTTGCAGTGCTGTCTGCGTCCTAACCCACTGCACCACCAAGGAGGGCCCATAAAACCAGTATATCTTTTTTTAATGTGTGTTTTCATTTTTTCTTAACTGCTAGGGGGTTTTTTTTGTTGTTTTTTTTTTTTTGCATAGAAGAACTAAGGTGTTGCCCAGAGGTGTAGGGGTAAGGGGATTCACAGAGACAGAGTGGGGGGCAGAACAGGCCAACTGACTGAAATATACTGCTGAGGGGGGCAGCGGGGAGACAGGAGAGGTCTGCTGGGCCATCCCCAGTTTGCAAATTCAGGCCATATAGGTGATAGTGCCGACACTTAACCCCTAGGGAACCAAATACAATCATACAATCGTAAAATGTTAAATCTAGGTTTGTAAACTATTGATAGGAATAAAAACAGGTACAAGTTCAAACCTCAAAGATCTGTACACCAGCTAACAAGATTACATATACTTTTGCCCTGAGATGCTGTAATCAGCCGTGACAGTACCCTTTACCTGTACAAGACTACATGTGCACGACGGTGCTCACCAGCCTCCCTGGCGCTCAAGGGACTCATGTGCAGCACTATGAAGCTATTGGCAGCCAGTGTGGCGTGAGTTCTAGCCCCAGCAGGGTCCAGAGTGCATTTTCTTTCCCTCATGTAAGTGGCCCCATCACCCTGCCACATGCAGAATGAGAACAACATTCAGCTCCCTTGACTCAGCTGAGGGCTGGACCCCTGTGCCTTAACCCAAAATAGTTTAATTATGCCAAAAAGAAAGTATTCAGAAAATAAGGAGGCTTCAGCAAAAGGCCAGGAGAGCCACCTTGCAGAGGCGGATCTGAGCAGCAAAATGAGTAATTACTACATTACGGACTACAAACTACGGCATAAAGCTAGAATCCAGAAGTCAATGCTGGTACTCAATCAGTCACTAAACAAAGGGACAAAAAGGAAGTCGCATCCTGACAGTAGAATGCTGACTAATAAAGCTAATACGTGCAAAAGAAATGGTAAGAGCTAGAAAAATAATCTTGAGGCAGCCCTCACTCATTCATTCCAAACGGCTTTGCTGGGCCCCACCCAAGTCGGTCAGCCCACTCCGCGTTACCACTCACAGCAGCAGAGACGCAAATTCCCTGTCTCACGCACTTACATTCTATGGGCGAGATAGACAATACAGGAGTAGGAATGTAATAAATAAGCACTAGTAACAGTTCTATGGGCTTGTTTTTTAACACAAAAATTTAAATGAAGCAAAATAAGGGAAGAGAACAGCAGGAGGAAGACTCTCCTCTCCAAAGAGAACAGCTGCGCGCACGACATAAAGGAGTAAGACACCTAGATGCCTGGAAGAGTCAAACGGCAAAGTCCCTAGGAGGGGCCCTCCCTGGGGGCACAACGGGTTAGACACAGCACCTTGGGGCCCGAGTCCCATCCCCAGCCAGGGAGGGACCCCCAGGGTGCAGCAGACCCCCTCGGTCTCCCCGCTGCGCCCATGAGCAGTGGGCTTCAGTCAATCTGCCTCTTCTGCTCCCCACACCTCTCACTTCCCACACCTCTGGTTGGTACCCCAGTTCTTGTGTGCATAAATAAGTCAGTCTTAAAAAAAAGTCCCAGAGAGAGAAACAAACCCTACATGTTGGAGGAAAGCCCAGAACTCACCTTCCTGTAAGTGCAGAGTTGATCCTTGAGGTTCTGACAATGCAACATAGTTCCAAGGGCAACTTGTTGAACCAACTGTTGGAATTTTAAATTCTTGGAAACAAAATCTGTCTCACAGTTTACCTGTGGGAATAAATGAAACTGCTGTATAGGCTGGTTACCGCCAGTTCCTAAAGCTGCCTCAAGGGGGAGAGTAAACCAAGGCTCTGACAGAGTGGCAGACTAAGGAACAAAGGAGCGGGATTTTAAGGCTGGTTTCTCCCCCAGCTGGAAGCCCAAACCTGCTGGAAGCCCAAAGGTGGTGCTGTGTGAGTGAGACATCCCCAAGGCCCCGGTTCTTCAGCGGTTCTCCAGCTCCACACACCTGCTCTCGGGTGCTTCTCTCACTGGAAACCCATCCGCACCTGATTCTTCACCAGCTGTCCCCAAGTCTCCTCTGAAACCGCTTCTCCTTACTTGTCAACTGCCCTAGTTTAAAATCTAGCTGTTTCAGATGGCCAACAAGCATACGAAAAATGTTCACCATCACTTGTCATAAGGAAGATGACAATTAAAACCACAATGAGATACCACCTCACCCGCGTGAGAATGGCACATCTTCAAACAACTAGCAACAACAAATGTTGGCGAGGATGTGGAGAAAAAGGAACTCACTCTCCTGCACTGCTTGGGAGGAATGCAAACTAGTACTACCACTATGGAAATCTGTGTGGAGGTTCCTCAAACTGCTACACATGGGGCTTCCCTACGACCCAGCAATCCCACTCCTAGGGATCTACCCAAAGACACAAAAACACTGATTCAAAAAGATACCTGCGCCCCATGTTTACTGCTGCTTTGTTTACAACTGGAAAGACATGGAAACATGTTTTCTGGGCATGGAAACATGCCCAAAAATGGATGACTGGATTTAAAAGATGAGGTACATATACACAGTGGAGTATTGCTCAGCAGCCAAAAAGAAAAACACATGAATTTTGCAGCAACTTGGGTGGAGCTGGAAAAGATCATGCTCAGTGAGATAAGCCAGAAAGAAAAGGAAAAACACCGGATGGTTTCACTCATAGCAGGAATTTAATGGACAGATGAGAAAATAATGACAATGACGAACAGCTACATACCAGTGACATTTTATGGGGGCAGAGTGGGGAATGGGATCAAAAATGGGGGGGAGGCGATAGCACACAGGGTGATCTGGTGATGGGAAGCCCACAGGGTTGACAACTGAGATGGAAAAGGCACAAGGCACAAAATGATGTAAAAACACACTATCGTTATTATTAAACAAACAAAAGAGCTAGCAGTTCCGGGGAGCCGTCAGGTCGGGCCTTCCCCTTAGGGGTCCCACTTCACACACCAGCCCGGCGCTGTGGGCAGAACGAGCCCGCACTGTGGGCACTGTGGGTCGAAGCCCAACCACCTCCCCGGCGCTCGAGCACCCCTCCAGGGCGCAGGGGGCACTCACCTCCACCAGCACGGCCGCGCTCCCCTCCTGCAGCAGCCCTATCAGCCCTTCCCGGGTGCTCCTGCCCTGCAGCCTGGCCGCTCTGCTCCAGCCCTCCTCCCGGGCCTGCCGGTGCAGCCAGCCCTCGGCCTGCGGACAAGCAGAGGGTCGGCGAGCCGCCCGCTG